GCAGAACAGATATTAACCCTTTAACATTTCATTCCCTCCTTTTATCATTCCATGATAACCAACTAAATGGGGGCTGAGAAAGGTGCCGCCAGCTTATTCGTAAGAATCTTACAGCCAGTATTTAAGCAAGTTATTAACACACAACATACAATGATTATAACAAAAATTACTAGCCCATGCAGTAGATAGGATCCCCAGGGTCCTCCCAGTAGCCACCCTAGCCAGTCATCTCCTTTACCTTGTCGGAAATCATCCAATTGTTTTTTAACAGACTGGATGGCATGGGTTATGTTGTATGATTCGTCCGTAACATGGGTGATGCATTTGTCTCCTACTATTGTACAGACTCCCCCTTGTTGAGCCAGCTGATAGTCCACTGCATACCAGGTTTGCTGAGCATAGAGCCGAAGTTCAGCTAATTCTTGATTTACTGCTTCCAATGCCCACATTGTGCTATTTCCCAGGGCGGTGAGTCCACATATAAGGTAGTTTCGGTTTTTAGCGGACACCACCCCTGAGGAGCCTCCCAAAGTGACAGTTCCCAGGAAGCCATGTCCCAAGGAAGAGCCCAGGGTTACTGGATCCTGCCACTCGGCGCAAAACTCCTTGCTTATGAAGCGTGTGACAATTCATCGTCGAGTATATGCTCGTTGGGGACAAAGGACTGTGAGAGGCCCAATGGTCCCAACAGCAAATAGCACTGGCATAGTTGGAGTAGCAGTAGAAAAGGTCCCACTGAGAAGGAAAACAAATCCCTTCTTAGCACGGTAGCAGGTAACGGACTTACGGACTATCTTGTAACTATTCCAGGAGCATCGACCCTTAAATGGTTGGAAGTCCGAGGAGTGAAACGGAAACGTCCCATACCCCGTTTCTACATGGGTGCCATTACAACTCCCACAAGTCCAATGTATGCCTGAAGTCATATTTACCGGTTTTGATTCCAAACAGGGGCAGTTCAATAGCCCTCCTTTAGTTGTACAAGTCCGTTTTACACACTGATGGGGCCAGGAAGCATCATGGAGATGGTGGGTGACGTTTACTAAGGCATATACACAACAACTTCCAGCACCATTAAAACAAAGCGGATAGCTGTTAGGATCCGTACAGTTGGCCCTTCCTTCCCAGACTTAGATTTAGTACCTGTACAATTGGAGGGGCCGTTACTTATCAATTCTACACATTTACCCTGCACACCCCTGCTCCAGGTTCCTCTCTTCCCTTGGCAAGGCTCACCAGAATAATCTACTTCATAGAGTTGGTGAGGGTTCCATCCTGGTGTTGCTACAAACAAAGCTTCTACAGATTGTGCTAGCGGATAACACGCTGTTCGATCACCATGCAGTAGGATATGTGTCTTATAAAACAAATTGTCCTCCAACCCACTCACAGTCTGAACAATACTTAGTTCAATGATTATTTTCAAGATGGTGAGGGAACCCATCGTTTACAGTCACTTAGGTGGATCCAGCGATTCTGCCCTTTGACTTTAAGCACAGTCGGAGTCTGGAGAAGTATTTGGAATGGTCCTTTCCACCTGGGTCCGAGCTTGGGGTGATCCCAGTCTTTGATTAGCACGAGGTCTCCCGTTTGTAGTCTGGGGGGTTCATTCTGGTCGTCTGAGCTCTGATCCGTCGCTTGTGATGGTGGTCCGAAAGTGTGCTTTACCTGTGAATGAAGAAACTTTAGAGACGATGTTAGCTGCTGAAAGTATCTTTGCATTTCCTCTCCCATAATATTTAAGTCTACATGGGTAGGTGGGTCTGCGTTGGCATCCCAAGGGGTCCTACTGGGTCAGCCATAAATTATTTCTGCGGCCGAGAGTCCGGTAGTGAAGTGGGGTGTTATTCTCATGTGGTACAGAGCTAAAGGCAAAACCTTTAGCCAGTTAAGGCCGGTTTCGGATGTTAGCTTAGTCAATTTAGCGTTGAGAGTTCTATTAGCACTTTCCACTATCCCTGCCGCCTGGGGGTGGTAGGCACAGTGGAATTGTTGTTGGATGTGTAACACCTCACATAGTTCTTTGTTGATTTTCCCTACAAAGTGGGGGCCATTGTCTGAACTAATCTGTTGAGGCACTCCAAACCTCGGTACGATCTCTGTCAGTAGTAATTTTACCACCGTTGAGGCTTTATTATTAGTGGTTGGAAAGGCTTCAATCCATCTGCTAAATACATCAACAATAACAAGACAATACTTATAGCAATGTACACAAGGCAGTCCAATGAAATCAAGCTGAATACACTTTAATGGGCCGCCTAGCAAGGGTGTTTTCTCTGTTACACAACGCATTCCTTGGCCAGCATTATTTTGCTGACATGTCAGACATGACCTGACACGCTTCTGGGCTGCCTCAGCCAATCGGGGGTGCCACCAGGAACGTAACATGATATTACTCATTCCCTCCTTGCCAAGGTGGGTATCAGTATGAAGACAGTCAATAAGCATTGGTAACAAAGCATCAGGTATACACGCTTGGCCAACTGGAGTGACCCAGAGACCTCATCACGCAGAGTGCGAACACCCAAGCGTCTTCCATATGTCTTTTTCTGAGTCAGGGGCGTCCCCCCGTAAACGCGGCACAGTGACAATGTCTGGTATGCCCATTGTGTTCGAGGCAGGTGAGTGATTTAACACCTGCCGGTTCATAGAGGACACAATAGAATTGCGTGCTGTTGGAGCGTCTTTGGCAGCTCGATCAGCTCTGGCATTGTCTTTGCTGATATCTGTATTGTCCATTACATGGGCCGCACATTTGATTATGGCCAATTGCTTGGGGAGGAGGATGGCTTTGAGGAGATTTTGGACGTATAGTGAGTTCTGAATAGGTGTCCCTGAGGAGGTCAGAAATCTGCACTGTGACCATAGCTGGCCGAAGTCATGGGCCACGCCAAAGGCGTATCGTGAGTCGTGTATATATTTACCGATTTTCCTGCAGCCAGGGTACAAGCCCTTGTTAAAGCAAAGAGCTCTGCTTTCTGAGCAGATACAGGAGGATCGAAGGAGGCTGATTCTAAAGTGATTGTTTGGTTCAGAATTGCGTATCTTGAAAGGGGAACTCCTAAGGGTGATATCGAAGAGCTACCATCCACGAAGAGGGTAAGTTCCGGTGTGGGTAATGGGGTGTCTGAAAGGTCCGGTCGAGGGGAGGTTAAGAAGTGGTTGCGCAAAAGGCAATCATGGGGGGGGTTCTAGGAGCTCTTCCGGTGGGGTACCCAGGAAGGTCGCTGTGTTGACAGTTGTGCAGTAGGAGAAAGTCAGAAGGGGGTTATTAAGAAGAGCTATCTCATAGCGACTTAGTCGTGCCTGTGTAAGATGTTGGGTCTGATGGGAAGTCAGGAGGGCTACAATAGCATGTGACGAATAGACCGTCAGGGGTCGCTGGAGAGTAATATTGGAAGTGGCCGTTACAAGGGAGTAGATAGCGGGAAGAATTTGTGAGCAAGGTGGGAGACCCACGGCTAAAGGGTCAAGACGAGTCGAGTAGTAGGCCACTGGTCTCCTGCGATCCCCGTGGGTTTGGGTTAAAACAGCGGTTGCACAGTCCTCTAGGACACTGGCATACAACTGGAAGGGCCTGTCATACAAGGGTCTTCCGAGTGCTGGGGCGCTGGCAAGGGCAGTTTTTAACTCAGTGAAGGCTGATCTTTGCTCTTCTGATAGAGTGAAGATCTTTGGAGCCTTGCTTGAGGCCAAAGGGGTTAACTGCTTGGTGAGTAATGTTACGTTAGGGAGCCACTGTCGGCAGTAATTAACTAAGCCTCAGAAGGCACGCATTTGCTTGGGGCTAGTGGGCAGAGGGGTCACTAGGATGGGTGCGATACGTCCCGGGGTTAATTGCCTATCAGAAGCACTGAGCAAAGTTCCCAGGAATTTGACTTGGCGCTGAGTGCACTGAACCTTGGTGTGCAGTATGACATACCCCCAAGAATGGAGAGCGTTCAGGAGACGGTTGGTATCTGCAATGTTAGCAGATTCCGAAGAGCTAGCTAGGAGCAAGTCATCAACATATTGGACAATGGTAGAGCCGTCCAAGAGCCAAAGCTCCGAAAGCTGCCGGTGCAATACCTGGGAGAATAAGGTAGGTGAATGGACAAATCCCTGAGGGAGGCGTGTCCAACTGTACTGCTGGCCCTTGAAGGTAAAGGCAAACAAATATAGGGAATCTGCTGCTAGAGGGATAGCAAAGAAAGCATCCTGTAAGTCAACCAGGGTGAAAACACAGGCATTGGCGGGGATGCTGCTAAGAATCATCGCAGGATTCGGCACAACCGGGAGTAAAGGCTGGACTATTTTGTTGATCTGCCTGAGATCCTGCACTAATCTCCATTCCGGGCGTCCTGGTTTTGGCACAGGTAGAATGGGTATTGCAGGGCGATTGGCAGGGAACTACAACGCCTTGCTGGAGGAACGGCTCAATCAATCAAGAGTGTTATCCCTTCCATTGCCTCTGGCCTTAGGGGGTACTGATGTATTGAAGGCAGTTTCGTTGCTGGTATAATCTGGATCTTTATAGGCTCCACGGGGGTGTATCCTACTTCATGTTTAGAGACTGACCAGAGGTCAGGAAAGGGTTCTTCCGAAGGGTCATGTTGGGGTTGATGGTGGCAAAGTGGGCCCACTACAGTGAAAGGGCTAGAATAATAAGTTAAGCTCCCCTCGGTCAGTTGTTGGGACATATCGGTGACACTGGGGTCCGACTGCTGCTGTAAGCGGTGAGCTAAGAATCCCAGGACCTTTACTTTATATCCCTTGTTCCCAGACAAGGTGATATGGGGAGAAACTAAACCTGGTTGGTGCCAGAGGTGGATGGGAACGTCCACCAAGAAGGCTGATCCCTCCTTACCTTCAATGTGTCCTGTAATGGTAACAGTGACAGTCGACCCTAGAAAGGGAGCAAAGGCGGCTAACAGCTCAGTGGAAGCACCAGTGGAGTCATAACCAAGGGTTATGTGGGGATTAGGGGCCTGCAGAGGAGGAGTAAAATCCTCCGGCCTCAAATCAACAGCCCACCATTGGGGAGAGGAATAAATCCAAAATTGTCTCTTAGTGATATTATTTTTAATGGTGATACCCTCGTCAAGACAAAGAATTTCAACTCGGAGGGAACACAACAAATCTCTTCCTGCCAGATTAATCCCTAAATCAGGGGTCTGTGCGAACTGGACAGTGCAGGTCTCGGGGCCGAATCGGACAGTTAGTGGTTCAGTCAGGGGGTATGGTCTCTCCTGCCCGGTTAGACCACTAAGGTTCACGGAGACGGGTGAGAGCTTAAACCCATGCTGGCGTACACAGGAGGTTTCAAGAGTTGAGGCTGTGGCTCCGGTATCAATCATAAAGGGGACTTCCTTGCCCTCAACGGTCAAGCATACTATCGGCTCATCCTCAGGGTCGTTAGTCAATATGGGGAAATTCGGAAGGGAGGATAGTCAGGCTGAGAAAGGGTTGCTGGTAGAGAAGGGTTGTCTCCTGCCCTGGGGTCTATTTTGTTGCTGTATCTGTGGACGGTCTCACTGCCAATGATCTCTGCCCCCACATTTAAAACAGCTCTGTGTTGGCTTTGGTGTTGGCAACCAGGACGGACCACTACAGGGCGGGTAGTTGTTATGGTTACAGAAAGGGAGGGAAGGGGCGTAGGGTGGTCCATAAAGAGGTGCACTGGGACCATTTGGGTGAGTGGTATACCCATGGTCATATCTATCGACCCATCCCGGCTCGCAGTACTGGGGTTCCATTTGATGGCCTCCGAGGGTGTCAGGGTCTATAACAAGAGTATCTGAGCCCCTGTGACGGAACTGACGAGGAGGACGCTGTACCATTTCATATTTGACCTTAGTCGGTTTAAATTCTTTATTGCTATTCCAGTAATAAGTAAGCGCCCTTCTCATTTGCGGGCGGGTGTTATCTGGCCAATCCATATTGTTAGTCCTAATAGCGGTGGCAATCGTTTCTTGAATGCATTGTAACAGTAGGGCATTAAATTGAGGTGAAGGGTTCCCTGCATTATAAGCGGTGTCACCTGCACAGGTGGCGTATGTGGAGCAGAACCGATCCCAGAAATCTGAACCCTCCTCTCCCTGCCTTGGGCGGCATTCTAATACTTTAGTTACATCCACTGGTTGTTGCAGGGTCTTTTGAAGAGCCCCCCTGATTTCTTGGATTTGGGCCCCTAGCTGGGGAATTGCCTCAGCAAAGGCCGCCCAATCATCATGGACCTTCCATCTAGATTGCTCACTGGGGGTCAATGCCATACAGCACAGACTGAAAAGATCCTGAGGCGTGGCCTGATACATTTGGATCGTCCCCATAATGTAATCAATAAAATCCTCCGGGCTTGTTTTTCAGTTTGGGGCTTGGGACATGATTAAGCACATCTCTTGGGATTTCCAAGGTGTGTAAACCTGCATGGTGGCCTGGCCTCCCTGTCCAGGGTTTGGGTTAGGGACTGTCCGCGTAGCAAACTGTCTTTGTCTGCGTTCATGGGAACCCTTTCCCATTCGTCTTTGGTAAAAATTACTGGAATCGACTGGTCCCTCTACAGCCTCACCGGACCATTGTTCGTCTTCAGGGTCGTAAGGTTGAGACTGATCATGTTCACTATTACTGTCTGTGTCAGTGTTATAGGATAAATTGTTCTGTCCCCTATGTGTCTCAAAAGGGTTAGTCTCTTGCCTTTTCTGGTTCTTGATCGGGTTCTGAAAGCGACTGCATCGGTGAAACCTTCCGAAGTCTGGTTCTGGTCAGCGGGGTGGGTAACATTTCCGGGGGGAACTAGAAGGGTACGTGGAGTGGAACCTGGAACAGGTTGTAGATGGGCGGACGGTGGTAGAGAATAGGGTGGGGGTAGTGGTTGCTGGTCCTTGGACTGAGGCTGAGGTGGTGGTGGTGGAACGCTGGCAGAGGGATTAGGGTATATGGGCTGATGTGGTCGGGCGGGTAGGGCACTAGGCGAAATTTGCCAATCCTCCTCCTGGTCATCGGTCTCATTATCTTGGAACAATATCGGCAGACCAGACATGTCAGGAGGTACTTCCATTTTATTCCCACATGATGAACCGGCTTGACACTTCAACCCTGATTCCTTATTTTGCCTCTCCTTTCTCAATCTTTCCTGTTCTGCTTTACTCATATCATAATCCCATCACTGCCACCAAATGTTGAGTTCCCTTTTAGGAGATTCCTTCGCACTTGATACAAACGCAATACGCCAACTTCTGTGAAAAGCCACAGTTTATTTAAGCAAGTACAAGCTTTGGAGGATCACTTAACAGTCGTCGCAGGGATTGCGGAGCCGTGTCAAGTGAGGCTATCTGTAAGGGATAATAGGAACTGCAGATGCTGGAGAATCCGAGACAACAAGGTGCAGGGCTGGATGAACACAGCAGGCCAAGCAGCATCATAGGAGCAGAGAGGCTGACGTTTCGGGCCTAGACCCTTCATCAGAAAAGGGGGAGGGGAAGGGGGTTTTGAAATAAATAGGGAGAGAGTGGGAGGCGGAAAGAAGAGGGATAGAGGAGAGGATAGGTGGAGAGGAAACAAACAGGTCGAAGAGGCGGGGATGGAGCCAGTAAAGGAACCGTCCTCCCTTTATGTAGGTTTTTACAGCACAGTCAGACATGCA